AAACTTTCTTCCATATTTATACTTGGCTCTAACAACATTAACTGCTGCCCAATTTGTCTAACTCCAGCCTGAAGACACTTCTCTGAATCTGACTCATTTCCCTCTTCTTCCTTAGAATTTCCAGAGTTAACATTTTTGTGCTTGAGAATCATTTTGCCAAACTTGTCTATATTAATTGCTGGACCAGCTGGAATTATTTTTGAGCCAACAAGCCCAGAAAATCCCTCACTATCTGATTGGGCCTGTGATCCAAAATTAGAAAATTTTAACTTTCTGATTCCTAAGCCGACATAATCACCAACTTTTATACTCCCAATACTCTGACTTTCTGACAGTCCACCATTAATGCCATCCCCATCTATAGAAAGTCTATCGGCCTGCTTTTCCCCACCAACTTCCCCAGAATAAGAAAAACCTCTATTGTCAAACAAGCTGTCAACTTTTTGCCGAAAATCTTCTACTGAAACATCTGTATCTTTCCACTTTCTGACATCAATTTGAATTCTTCCTCTACAGTGACCTTCTCTCCATAACGACCCTCACTATAAACTTCCACCGGAAAGTTGCCAAAAAAAGAAATTGAAGACTGGCACGCCGATCCCACCTTGATGCACAATTTAAATGATCTTCCATAGGAACCCAAAGAGATCACCTCCGGAACATCAAAACAACTTTCCACCCTTAATAAAATTTTCGCCGTTGTGAGGTCTTCTTTTTTCCTAATGGCTTCATGAATGTCAACAACTATCCCCCTCTCCCTGCTATTTGTTTGAAGAACTTATCATTCCAGCATAACAGAGGGACTCCCACTAGTTCCACCAAACAAAAAGCCATTGGGACACCATCATCATTCAACAAAGGGGCTAATCGATCAAACCATAACTCTAGTTCTTTCCTCTTCGACCAAGTATCCTTCATCTCTTCCGATGAATTAAAGACAATTACACAAGAATTCCACACATGTCCCCATCTGGTAATTTGGACTTCGAAACCATCTTTAATTAACTTCTTCTTGACATATTCAATCTTTAATGAATGTTTAATGATCCCCGTTAATGACCTTTTAACCCAATTGGAACTTTCGGAAGGAATATGCATTTCCAGAATATTTTTATTCACTTTCCCCCTATGAATATCATCAGATGAAAACGCCTTATTTCCCATTGCACTTCTGTTTGACAACAAAGCCTCTTTGTAAGACCTAGTATCCCTGAAACAATTGTTTAAAACTTTCGCCTGATTGGAATTGGATGTTCCAGTAATGTTCTGACTGAGGACCTTCTTTGAATCAACATTCTTTCCCTCAGACCAGGAAGAAACTCCCTTATATCTTGCAGGACCAACTGAAATCTTTCTCCCATCTATCAGAACACCATTTAAGACCTCGACTGCCCTCTTCAAACCATCCTCACTCTTAAACTGAACAAAGGCAAAAGTTGAAAATTTGTATTTTGGGTTCCTAGTGACTTTGGGAATGAAGACTCTCTCAATATAACCATGGACTATGAAAATATCCCTTAATGAAAGTCAGGACACCCTCCTACTAAGATTGTCGATGAACACCGTCCAGTTCTCATCGAAGACGGACTTTCCTTTGAGACTCTTCCTCTCTACGTTTAGTGTCATTTGGTTGTGGCTGATAAGAATATGCCTTTTAGACAAACTGAAAACTGCCTGACCTCGGGTGGCAAAAGCAAATCTCTGCCATTAATTTTTCTTAGACTTTTTGGAGTCTTTTCCTCGTTTCTCTCTCTTACAACACTTATAATATGTTCTGTTGTTTGATTAAATTACCTCATAACTATTCATTGCTATATTTTTGCTTTACTTAGTTTGATTTTTGGAGTCAAAAGAGAGATTCATAATATGTTCTTATGTTTGATTAAATTTTGGACAATTTGGTGGAGTGTAACTGATGTTTGAGTAGGTATTTAAACCGTCAAAAGTTGACTTAGTTGAAGAAGATGAGAATTTGGAGTTAGATTTTGCCGAGACACTTCCTCAGGGCCTGGAAGTTTTGGCTATTGGATTTGAAGGAATCTTAAATGACAAAATGAAAGGATTCTATAGATTGTAGTCATGTCATGCTCATATAGTAGTTACTTCTGATTGAAAGGAAGAAGATTAGGATGTTTATTTAATTAATGATATTTTGACATCCAGTATATACGAGCACAATGGTGAGAAGAAGAATATGGCAGTTACACAGTTTGAGCCAGCTGATGCTAAGCGATGCTTACCGTGTTGGGATGAAGCTGCTTGCAAGGTTATTACTTTAGCTTTTCTGAAAGCTTGTGGATATTAGTTGTTTAATCTTGACTTTATTGTTTTTTCTTTAATGAAATTATAGGCTACGTTTAAGATCACCTTAGATGTATCGTATGAGCTAGTAGCCCTCTCAAACATGCCAGTCATTGAGGAGAAAGTGAATGGGCCTCTATTCTTATACAAAAAGGGGGATTTGGAAATATCAGAATAGAAAGAGAATCAGAGGGAGGATTTAAAATTTTGAATTTCAAAACTAATGAGAGAATGCTTCTCTCTTGGTTCAAGGTGATTTTGTTTTCATCCATCATTTCATCTTTACCATCGCCGTCCGCCGACGTTAATCATCGCCGTACGCCGACCGTCGTCTGCCGTCTGTAACCACACTCCGTCATCCGTTCGCCGCCGTTTTTCATCAGGAAGATCGTCTCCACACTCTGATTCCATTTTCGAGATTAGATATACGAGAAAGTCATTCAATCGGCGTAGATCTAAACGCCGTTTTCCACCGATTTATGCCGCCGTTCGTCGCCAGTTCACCTGCATACCACTAGGCTCGCCGTACACACGCGAACAAATCCCTTCTATCCTAGCGTTCATACTCGTTACTATTCTCTGTGAATCAATCTTTGACCGGTTAGACAAAAACAGAACAAGCCATGGTTCTTTCAAGTTGTTCTCCCGATCTAAACCATATCTGAGGGTTTGGTTGAAGGACATTTACGTAGTTTCATCTTTCCTTAGGCTCAAGATCTACCAGTTAGACTCTCTTCATCACCTCCACCCTTCTCTTCTTCACCGATAGTCGCATCATTCACCATCGCCGGGCACGCGTCTAGGAAAGTTCGTCAAGTCACTGGGTTTTTAACTTCAACAGTCATTCATCACATGCCGGGTGCTGGAATCCACCCTTTTCTCCAGCAGAGACCTCCGGTCCAAGCTCCTCCGCCCTCTGCAGCCGCGCCTTCTCCGCCATCTCACTATTCTCATCAAGACGAGGTTCGTACTATCTTCATTACGGGTCTTCCTGAAGATGTCAAAGAGAGAGTTGTAGAATTTACTGAGATGGCTTCCAGGTTTTGAAGCTTTGCAAGTGAGCTACAAGGGAGAAAACCCTAGGGGTTTCACTCTCTTCTCAAATGCAAAATTTGCAGTTGCTACCAAGGATGCCCTTAAGGAAATGGTTTTTGATGTTAAGTTGAAGTCCCTTTTGCACATTGAGATGGCAAGGAAGAATCTTGTTGTTAAAGGAGGAATAGTTACAGATTCTGATGCATTTGACAAGTATGGATGTTATCCTGTTCCTCCAGTACTGCCATTTCCAAATCCAGCTTCTGTAGCATCTCCTAGTATTCATGTGCCTGTTAAAATTGGGTGTTGCGATGAAAAGTCTGCAATAGATGGCGTTCACGAAGGGACCAAGGAGTCTACCACAAAGGGGTGCAGTAATGACAAGTTTGGATGCTACACGTTATTTATTGAAAATTTACCAGAGAAGATCCATTGGAAGAGGTTTGGATTTTTATTTTTCACCCACGGTCGGGTATTTGATGTTTTTATTCCAAATAAAAGAAATTCAAAAGGAGTTCACTTTGGTTTCATTCGCTTCACAACAATCGAAGAAGCAAGGAGAGCGGTCTAAAAAATGAATGGTTCTCATATCGACGGCAGCAAAATTGGTGTTTCTTTCGCTAAATTCAAACCTCGACATTCCTATTGTAGAAAGTCCACGACAGTTGTTTACCGCAAGTCCGGGATGGAAGGTGATTTGAGGAAGAATCATTATGAAGTTGAAGGCGTTGTAGATGAAGAAAAACTTCACGTGTTGAGCAATTGTCTAGTGGGGTGGTGCAAAGACTTTATCAAAATCGGTCATCTCGCTAGACAAATGCATGCGAAGGGCCTCACTGGCTTCTCCTTAATGAAAGCTGCTGGAAATGCGGTATTAATGATTTTCGAAGACTCTGCTTCTTTGAGAAGTGTGAAGAACGATAAATCAGAGACTCTCGCAAAGTGGTTATCCAGAGTCGAAGCTTGGTCAGAGAGTTTGGTAATGGAGTGTTGTCGAGTATGGTTAGTTTGCGAGGGTGTTCCTTTTCACGCTTGGAATTGGGATACTTTCAAGAACATTGCTGATAAGTGGGGTCGTTTACTAGCAATCGACGAAGCTATCAGTCACCATCATCCTTTGATCGGGAAAAAATTCAAGTCCTCACAAAGGCTGATGCGAGAATTGATGCGACGTTGGAATTGAAGGTTGGTGACAACTCCTTCAAGATCATGGTGCATGAGTTAGAGCCTTCATTCAAACCAAACTCTTGGCCTCCTGAAGAAGACGAATCTCATTAGATCTCGTCTCTCCAATTGTGGCTTTGATTTAGTTTATATGGTTGCAGGTGTTGCTTTTCTTTTGTATTATGTACTTTTGCGTTGTTTTTAATCCTATTGCTGGAGGTGTAATTAGAAATAAGGTGATTCGACTGTGGCTTTGGATGAGGATATATGAGTTTAAGGTGTTTGTTGTAATGGTGTATATCACCATAGGAGGATATTCCGTGTTGTCTTTTGTATTGGGTATTATTATTAATAAACTATGAGGTTCTCTTTTCTTCCTTCCAATGTTCGTTAACATACTTCTTAGTATGTGAACAAATACGAAGGGAGTTTTTAATGAGACCTCCAACTTCTATCAAAAAAAGAAAACTGTTTCTTATCAAGAATCACCAATCATGTCTACCTATTTAGTTGCTTTTTTTTGTTGGTTTGTTTGATTATGTGGAAGATCACATGCCCGATGGTATGCTCAAACTCTGTTATTCATTTCTTTTGGTGACAACACAATCATAATCTATTGACTTTTTCTTATGTTAATGGTGTCAGTCATTTTCTTTTATTTATTGCCTTCAAACATTTTACCTGTATTTTTGGTAGGGGTTAAAGTTTGAGTATACTGTCAAGCTGGGAAGGTAAATCAAGGGAAGTTTGCTCTAAAAGTTGCTGTGGGTACACTCGGGTTGTACAAAGAGTATGTTTTCTCTTCATTTAATTGCTTGCATATGGATTGTTATTCCCCTATTTTATTATTCCCATATTAATTCAGCTAACTTCTACAGCTATTTTGCTGTGCCTTATCCTCTTCCCAAATTTGATATGATTGCTATTCCCGATTTTTCTGCTGGGGCAATGGAGAACTATGACGAGCAACATTCTGCAGCTTCCAATTAGCAGAGGGTATATTTGTAAAACATGTTGCTGCCCTTCTTAGATTACTTTATCCTGCATCTGACAAAATGTTTGACAATATGACCTTAATGTAGGTTGCAACTGTGGTGGCCCATGAACTGGTGGACCAGTGGTTTGGTAATCTTGTGACAATGGAATGGTGGACGCATTTGTGGCTGAATGAGGGTTTTGCCACATGGGTAAGGCATTCCCCCCCCCCCCCCAAACACACACACAATAGTATTTATCAGCATGGCTTGAAACTGAATTTATGATGATTATGCATTTTCATGTAAGCTACTTTGCAACTGATAGCTTGTTTCCAGAATGGAAAATATGGACTCAGTTTCTTGATGAAACTACTGATGGTCTTAGGTTGGATGGCCTTGCAGAATCCCACCCAATTGAGGTATATGGATATTGTATGAAGCTATTTTTCTCTACATTAGGGGTGTGATGTGACTGCTTGTTTCTAGAATATTGAAATTTAAACTATTTTTCTTTGCAGGTGGAAATCAATCATGCTGCTGAAATCGATGAAATTTTTGATGCTATAAGTTATAGGAAAGGTGCCTCAGTTATCCGCATGCTACAAAGCTATTTAGGTGCTGAATGCTTTCAGGTTGGTCTTCTTGTATTAGTTATTTTCCTAATGATTGTGATTATACGTTGGGCGTGATTGCTTGACCCAAAAAATGCATATTTTGAATGTCCCAAATTTTAAGATATTCTTGCTGGTAAGTATTTCTATGAAAACACTGGAAAAGAAGAAATGCTGGAATGTCAATTTGTACTTTATTCATTTAATAAATGCTTCTGATGGCATATGTTTATTCTTTGAATATCTTAAATCAAATGTTAATTGATTTACTTGGATGTGAACTATTCCACCTATCAGAAATCACTTGCTTCATATATAAAAAAACACGCATACTCAAATGCGAAGACAGAGGACTTATGGACTGCCCTTAAGGAGGGATCTGGTGAACCGGTGACTAAGCTAATGAATACATGGACCAAACAGATGGGGTATCCAGTTGTCTCTGTCAAAGTTAAAGATCAGAAGTTGGAATTTGAGCAGGTTTAATCATGTTTGATTCATTTATGTTGGTTGGATTGGGAATGGGAATGGGAAACTGTGATTTTCTGTTCAATTCAAGTTCATTCATCATCTGTTTCAATTTATTCCGTTTTATTTGGTGTTATTGAAGTTAGTGCTAACAATTGATGTGATGAATGGCAGTTACAATTCTTCTCTAGTGGTTGCACTGGGAATGGGCAGTGGATTGTCCCGATAACATTTTGTTGTGGGTCATATGAGAAGAAGAAAAGCTTTTTGTTGCAAACTAAGTTGGAAACTCATGACACAAAGGAACTATCTTCTGACAGCAATAAAAGTGCTTGGATAAAGCTTAATGTGGAGCAGACTGGTTTCTATAGGGTGAAATACGATGAGGAACTTGCCACCAGACTCCGTCATGCAATCGAAAACAAATACTTGACTGCAATTGACAGATTTTGTAATTTGGATATTTTCATGAGATTGCATGTTGTTCTAAAATGATAAAAGAGATAAGGTAACATTACTTCTTCCTTTTACAGGCATCCTGACGATTCATTTGCACTTTGTATGGCGCGCCAGCTGCCTTTGACTTCCTTGATTACCTTGACGGCTGCCTATAGAGAGGAACTCGAGTATACTGTTCTTTCTAACTTGATTACTGTAATGCTCATCTCTCACTCTTGCTTAAAATTACTTTGAACTATACTCCACAATCCTGATTCTAGCTCTTGCTTTTCACAGATAACATATAAGGTTGGGAGAATTGCGGCTGATGCAAAACCTGAGCTGATGGATAACATTAATCAATTTTTTTAACCTTTTCCAATATTCTGCGGAGTAAGTTATCTTAAATGTATTTTTTTTATCCAGAAGTTATTGTCTATTTGTTTCAATCCAAGCCTTTATGTAATGCAAATTTTCTGTTTTTAATATCTTATAGGGAACTTGGTTGGGATGCTAAACAAGGTGAGAGTCATCTGGATGCCATGTTGAGAGGTGAAATTTTGACTGCACTTGCTATGCTTGGGCACAAGGAGACGCTGAATGAAGCAACTAGACGATTTGACACATTCTTGAACGACAGAAACACACCACTCCTCCCTCTCAACATAAGAAAGGTTTTCGACTACTTCTGATTGTGAAGGATTAATTGAGGCCATTGTCCCCCATTTTTACCCACCTGTTTAACTATTAACTATGGTTTCAGGCAGCATATGTAGCTGTAATGCGGTCAGTCACCTCCTCCAATAGAGCAGGTTTTGAGTCTCTTTTGAGAGTTTATAGAGACTGATCTAAGCCAGGAGAAAACCCGCATTCTAGGAACTGACTAATCTGTTTTCGTTGTAACAAGTATAACCAGTTGATGAATTTGACAATTATTGTTACATTTTGTAGGTTCATTGCCATCTTGTCCTGACCCAGCTATTGTTCTTGAAGTTCTAAAATTCTCATTGTCTCCCGAGGTATATTGTTACTAATTTGTTGAGGAGCAATCAATTTATCCTAATAAAGTAAAAGATATAAACTCTGGTCTTCCCCTCCCCCATTCAGGTTCGTTCCCAAGATGCTATATTTGGATTGGGTGTTAGCAAGGAAGGTCGTGAAGTTGCCTGGACATGGCTCAAGGATCGTAAAAAACTTTGGTGGATTCCTGATACCACGTTTTGTCAGTGCAGTTGTCTCGCCGGTTTGTGCCTTTTTTGCAAACTTTTACAATATTTGGGAATTCAAATTCTCGTACTCATATTCTAATATGTTCAACTCAAAAGTGTTAAAACACAAGTACTCCAAAAGAGTTTAATTAACATTGTTTGATTACAATTTTCTTTTTTTTATAAAAAAAGTTGTTTTCATTGTACGCAGTTTGCTTCATTTGAGAAAGTGAAGGAAGTGGAGTTCTTTGCAAGCCGAGACAAGGCTTCGATAGCGAGAACGTTGAAGCAGAACCTTGAACGGGTTAACATTGTAGAAAGTATTAACTAATTTTAAATACAGTTGCATAATCTATTAGTTTGTTAAGTTTGTTAGCTTTCAGTTATTGAGTTAGTTATAGGAAGTTGTTTGTATATAAAGGACCCATTTGTTGTAATTGAAAGATTGAGGAATGAAATAATATTTTCTTTCAACATGGTATCAGTTTAGCCCAGGTCATTCTTGGGTCGCTTTCACTTTGCCCGTGCCTTTCCTCAATCCACATTTCTTTCTTCTCAATTAGGTCTTGCGTTTGGTGATTCTCTTCGACGAAATGGATACTCCTGACACCGCCGCTACCACCGCCGTGCTTGACTTCAACCATCCTTTATTTATGCATCCTTCTGATAAGCCCGACGGCGTTTTGGTTTCACATCGCTTAGTTGGCATCGACAATTACAATATTTGGAGCCTATCTATGAGAATTGTGCTGCTGGTTAAGAACAAATTAGATCTCGTTGATGGCACTTGCTGCAAAGAAGATTACGATGAGATCTTGCACTCTCAATGGGAACGCTGTAATGTGTTTTTTCTGTCCTGGATCCTCAACACAGTGAGTAGTGACCTCTCGGCTGAGATTGTGTTTGCTTCAAGCGCTGCTCATGTTTGGAATGACTTGAAGGAGCGATTCGATAAGGTAGATGGATCCAGAATCTATTTCTTGCATCGTGAAATTGCTACTCTACATCAGGGTGATTCAACAGTTTCAACCTACTTTACGCGACTGAAATTGTTGTGGGATGAATATCATACCCTAGTTCCCCTTTCAGCCTGCAATTGCGAGGCATCTCACCAAAATTCTAAACACATTGCACAACAGAAGCTGTTGCAATTTCTTATGGGCCTTAATGATACTTACTCGGCCATTCGTAGTCAGGTTCTCATTATGCAACCTCTACCGAGCGTGAATCAAGCTTATTCGATGATTGTGCAAGAAGAGGCACAACGAGCTCAGTTGTCTAGTGTTTCGAGTGCTACTGCCATGTATTCTAATGCCTCTGGAAATCCTGATCGAAGGCGATTTACTGGTATTTGTGACTACTTCAAAATCAAAGGCCATAAGCGAGACAACTGTTATCGTTTAATCGACTTTCCTCCAGACTTCAAGTTCATCAAGAAGAGAAATTCTCAGACAGCTCTTGCCACCAATCCTTCACTGGTTGATTCTGATCATGAGTCACGCTCCGGTGATTCCAGTACAGTTCCTAATGCTCCAGCTTTTACAACAGCTCAATATCACCAAATTCTTGAGCTCTTGAACAAAGCTTCCTCGGTTGATGCAGCAGTCAACCTAGCAGGTATTGCTTCTAATTGCTCACATGTTTCCTCTAATTCATTTTGTTGGATACTTGATACAGGGGCTACTGACCATATGGTGTCTGAAGTCTATTGTTTGCAATCTTTAACTTCATGTGAACCTAGTTCTGTCCATCTGCCTACTGGTAACACTGTCCCAATCACCCATACTGGTAGTTTCCATTTTAACCCTGTTGATGTTATTCCAAATGTCCTGTATGTTCCTAATTTTCATCATAACATACTGACAGTGTCAAAACTCACTAAAGACCTCAACTGCAGTATTACTTTTTACCCTCGTTTTTGCATTTTGTAAGATCTCTTAACTGGGAAGATGAGGGGGATTGGTAGGGAAGCTCGTGGCCTCTATTTGTTCAATTCTAAAGATCTTGTTTCTGGTTTGTCCTCTACAAATGTTATTTCTGATTTGCCTTCATATAAATGCAAAATTGGTTCTGGTTGTATGTCTGTTTCCTCTTATAATAATATAATGCTTTGGCATGCACGTTTAGGGCATGCTATTTCTGTTAAAATGCATAAAACTCCATTTTTGTGTTATATTCCATTAAATGAAAATTTTGTTAAACAGTGTTAAGTCTTTCCACTTGCAAAACAATCTAGGTTACCCTTACCAATTAGTTCATCTAGGTCACTTAAATCCTTTGACCTAATTCATATTGACTTGTGGGGTCCATATAGAATTTCAACACACAGTGGTCATAGATCCTTTTTGACTATTGTAGATGATCATACTAGGTTGTCTTGGGTTTACTTGTTGAGACTTAAGAGTGATGCAATTCTCTTTCTTAAGCAATTTTTTACTCTTGTTCAAAATCATCATTCTGCTTTAGTTAAGTATGTTCGTAGTGATAATGGTGGTGAGTTTTTTAGTGACAACTGTGCTGAACTCTTCTCTTCTCTTGGTATTATTCACCAAAGCTCCTGTGTTCATACACCCCAACAAAATGGGGTTACTGAACGAAAACACAAACATCTTTTAGAGGTAGCTCGTGCTCTTAGATTCCCTTCTCATGTTCCTATCAAATTTTGGGGTGAGTGTGTCTTAAGAACCTCCTATATCATTAACAAGCTTCCTACTGATGTTCTAAAATGGAAAAGTCCATTTGAAGTTTTCTATAAAAAATCCGCTAATCTTTCTCATATGAGAGTATTTGGTTGCCTTTGTTATGCAACTAAAGTTAACTATAAGGACAAATTTTCTCCAAAGGCCTTACCTTATGTTTTTATGGGTTATTCATCAAATCAAAAGGGCTATCTACTTTTTGATCTTCAAACAAAATCGTTCTTTATCAATCGTGATGTAGTTTTTCATGAGACTATATTCCCTTTCTCATTTCCATTAAATGAGTCTTCCCATTTTTTCATACTCGGCCTTTCATTGATGATTCTGATTTTCTTACTCTTGAAATTTCTGCTCATTCTAATCCAGTAAATTCTATTTCACCTAGTTTATCTTCTCATCCTCCTTTTTCTTTTTCTTCTTCTGCATCACATCAAGTTTCAACTGGTTTACCACTTCCATCTTCAAGTCCATGTTCTAGTTCTCTTCCACTATCTCAAAATCAGTGTCTACCTCAAAGAAGGTCTACTAGGATTATAAAACCCCCTAATTGGTTACATGACTATGTTCAATCCTACCAATCTTCATCTCTTCCAAGTAAGTATCCTATTTCTAATTTCATTTCTTATTCTCATTTACCTTCTAAAACTCAGAGTTTCTTGTCTTCTACCTTTCACTTAAGTGAACCAAAAACCTATAATGAAACCATCACCAACCCTCTGTGGATCCAAGCCATGAAGGAAGAGATTGATGCTTTGGAGTCAAACAACACATGGTCTATAGTTACTATGCCTTCAGGGAAAGTTCCAATAGGTTGTAAGTGGGTATACAGATTCAAGACAAGGCTAATGGAGACGTTGAGCGTTTTAAAGCTCGCCTTGTTGCTAAAGGGTTCAATCAAAGATAATGAGTTGACTTTGTAGATACCTTCTCTCCAGTTGCTAAACTAGTCACTGTTCGAACTGTTCTTGCTATTGCCTCCATTTTCTCTTGGCCTCTTTATCAAATGGATGTGTACAATGCATTTTTACAAGGTGACTTAGTTGAGGAAGTATATATGGCACTTCCTGATGGTTTTTGCAGCCAGGGGGAGTCTAAGGTATGTAGGCTGCGTAAATCACTTTATGGATTGAAACAAGCCTCCAGGCATTGGAATTTGAAGCTATCAGAAGTATTACTTACTGCTGGTTACATGCAGAGCAAGTATGATTATTCAATGTTCACAAAGCAACAAGGGAGTGATATAGTTGTTTTATTGGTATATGTTGATGATCTTTTAATCATTGGAAGTAATGAGAAATTGATAGCTAAACTGAAGCACATTTTGAATAAGAACTTCAAAATGAAAGATCTTGGAGAGTTGAAATACTTTCTAGGATTAGAGGTTATAAGATCAAAGGAGGAAATTGTGCTGAATCAAAGAAAGTATGCTCTAGAGTTAATTAAAGAAACTGGAGTATGGGGAGTTAAACCAGCTTTGTCCCTCTTGAGAAAAACAAGAAGTTTACTACAACTGAATATGATGAAGCAGTCTGTAGCAATGAAGAACTATTGCAAGACAAGTATGTTTTTCAAAGACTTATAGGTAGATTAATATACCTGACTCACACAAGACCAGTTATTGTTTATGTTGTACACTTTCTCAGCCAGTTCATGCATAAACCAAAACAGTCGCATCTTGAAGCTGCATTGAGAGTGGTGAAATACATCAAGAAAAATCCAGGACATGGGATTTTATTAAGTGTAGCAAGTGAGTGCAGGTTGTTTGCCTATTGTGATTCTGACTGGGCTGCATGTCCTATGACCAAAAGGTCCATAACCGGTTTCTGTATTAAGCTTGGAGTGTCGTTAATTTCCTAGAAGTCTAAGAAGCAAAACACAGTTGCGCTCTCTTCTGCAGAAGCAGAATATAGAAGCATGGCAGGGACAGCTGCAGAAATTGTGTGGTTGAAGGGACTGTTGGATGAATTGGGCTTGAAAAATATAGCACCAACTAAACTAATATGTGATAGCAAAGCAGCTTTGCAAATAGCAGCTAACCCAGTTTTCCATGAGAGAACTAAACACATTGAGATAGATTGTCACTTTGTCAGGGAGAAGATTCAAGAAGGCGTAATTCAGACTGAACATATCAAGACATGGGAGCAACAAGAAGATTTAATGACTAAAGCTTTGGGTGTACACCAACATGAATATCTAGTTTCCAAGTTGGGGTTTAAAGATATCTTTACAACCACCAACTTGAGGGGAGTGTAGAAAGTATTAACTAATTTTAAATATAGTTGCATAATCTGTTAGTTTGTTAAGTTTGTTAGCTTTCTGTTATTGAGTTAGTTATAGGAAGTTGTTTGTATATAAATGACCCATTTGTTGTAATTGAAAGATTGAGGAATGAAATAATATTTTCCAGATATTTAGTTTCAACAAACATCAATGCCAATCGGGTTAAGAACATTCAGGCAGAGAAAAAATTTGGCTTATAGGAAATACTAAGAGATTTGATCTTTCTTTAGTTGAATTCGAGTAGGGTCAATTTGTCTTAAATAAATTTAGTTTAAAAACTAATATGTCAATTTTAAGTTAATGTCATTTTAGG